GTCAGTCAGTCAGTCAGTCAGTCAGTCAGTCAGTCAGTCAGTCAGTCAGTCAGTCAGTCAGTCAGTCAGTCAGTAAGTAAATAAGTAAAGTTTATTTATATACAGTAACACCTTTCATAGATGTAAAATCACAAAGCGCTTCACAAAAAAAGCAATAAAAAAATTAAAAGCATCACAAAAGCATTAAAAGTACAAGTAAAAAAAATATTAGCTAAAAGCCTGTTTGTACAAGAAAGTCTTCATATGTTTTTTTTTTTAAAGCATCAATAGAATCAAGGCTGCGTATAGACTGGGGCAGTGCATTCCACAGTCAGGGTGCAACTGCTTGGAAAGACCGATCCCCTCTGGATTTAAAATGTGTGTGGGGTACCACCAACAACCTCTGACCAGATGACCTCAAACTGCGAGATGGTGTGTGAAGCTGAATCAAATCCAAAATATAAGAGGGAGCTTGTTCATGTAAGGTTCTAAAAACTAAAACCAGAAWTTTAAAATTCATTCTAAAATGAACWGGGAGCCAGTGAAGTGAAGCTMAAACAGYTGTGATGAGAGCTTGTTTGTTTATGTTAGTTAACAATCTGTTACAATATTCAAAACGAGAAGAAATAAATGCAGGAACGACCATTTCAAGTTCAACTTTTGACAAGACATTTTTCAATTTTGAGATGTTCCYAAGATRGAAGTAACTAAAGAGAATAAACATCATTCAATAGCTTGGCCTGTGTTGGATGGTGATTGTGTTTTACTGAGAGCAAGTGAACGCAGCACTCAGCAGGATCCAGCACTTACTCTGCCTTCTTGCGTTTGTGGTAAGAGCGTCTCCACGGGTTCCTCCAGGTCTTGCGTTTGGCGAGGGCCAGGTCGGGCAGGAAGGCGGCCAGCGACCCTTCGATCTGGTCAGGTTTCCCACACAGGGCATGCTCAGTGGAGCAGTAGTATGAACACTCGCCGTAGAAACACACGTTGTTGGCTGTTGGTCAGAGAAAAGGTAGATGATGCTGCTTTGTGAAAGGAGATTACTTAATCACCTGTGTGTGATTGTAGAGTCAGCCCACTTTGTCTGTTAGCAAAATATCATATGATCCACTAAAWGGATCAGAGAGAAACTTTCAGAAATCTAATCACTGGGTGTACATTTACAACTGATTAAGCTTGTGAAGTCAATCCAGTCAAAGATGGCTGCCACAGATGACTGAGTTTAAAAAACACAAAAAYGGCTATAACTTAGTATTACAGACACTGAGCTAAATTCCAGGATGGTAAAAGTCAAGATGCATTTTTAACTCATACTCTGAGAAAAAACTGATAGGAAAAGGTCTTTGTTTAAAAAATTTGACATTAATTAATGGAGTCAAYTCCATCTGTCTGTTAGCAAAATATCTTATARACACTAGACATAAYTGTAGTGAAASTTTCCGGAAAAAATTATGGAATGTGCATTTACAACCAATTAACTTTTGAGGTAAACCACAGTCAAGATAGCCACTGTTACCAATTACATCTGAAAAACACAAAAATGGCTTTAACTCGCCCAGAAATAAAGCTAAACTTTGGTGTGGTAATAGCTGAGAGTTATCCCCAACACATACTTTGAAAAGGAYGTAACTCCATCATTTCTCAACATCAGATGACCTCWGTCTAAAAATCTGGCAGAAAAGTAAGCGGGTAAAATGCATTCTTCAGAAGAATGTAGGGTTTTTAATTTTCCTTCGTTAGTGTGGCACCTTGTAGTTACGCTCCTTTTCAAACTTTTGTCATTYGCTCCACATACATCCACGTTGCGCRTGATTAAAAATTACCAGGGGACATTCACTGACCTGCATCAACTGCTGAGACTGCCAKTAATTTGAATCCTTGGAGAATTTTCCACATGCACGTTACATAAAGTACACTTGCGTTGCTAATTAACTGCAGCGCAGTGACACAAGGTAAAGTCCCCTGATAAAATTAGTTTCACAARAACGAATATCCCAGATTTTCAGCTCAACATTAATGGAAAGTTTCCTCTTTTGCTGAGGTTTTCATTTTTGTAGGACACAGAAATAGATCGGTACATTTGGCATTCATCTCTGCTGTTTTTATTATTTTTTCAGACTACATTAAGAAAAKAAATGTACAAGGGATGTAAATGTAAGCAGTAGATTCTCTGGCCACAGCAAACATCAGTTTTGTCTTACGGTGTACCTGGTGAAATGAAGAAGGTCCTCCAGAGCTTTTTGTCTCGTGTAACATCTCTGATCTCCTTTGTCATGTTGACCAGCCTGCCAGCAACAGGAGGGACCCGACGGAAGTCCAGGATCCTGTTGGTCAGAAACAAACACATGTAAATTGGTGTTTGGATAAAAGGAGATAGAAAAGGTGCTCAGATGATGAGGCACACCTTCACCGTTTGAGCCGTTTAGGAAGTTATTCAGTACGGTTTGATMTGCTGAACAATAACAGGACCCTGAGAGCTTCAAACATGTAATGATGTCTTAAAACAAACACATTCTGCTTTAAAGCCAGCATTAACCACAAACTACATCTCCCATAATGCATTGTAGTCAATTTACCCACAAMATGACAGCATCTCACCACTAGGTAGAGGTGAACAGGCTTTAAAACAACAGCTGGAAGAGTTAACATGATTGTTAAATGAAATTAACATAACTATATAAGTCATAAGTTTGAACTGAAAAGTCCCTTCCAGTGGAAATTCTGTGTGAAAGTGATAGGAACTTCAAACACCACAGTTCAGAATTCAACAAGGCAGCTACTCAACCACAACAGTGGGTAAAAATCTTTTACTTTTACTTCTAATACTATTTTTGTGTCATTTATTTCATACTTAGTCAGTTGTACACTTTGAATTTTTCAGTTTTTGTAAGAGGATGTGTTAAAGTGCTGTTTCTTTGCAGAAGATACCACATAGCTCAGTTATTGTTTGTTAGCGGTGCTTGGTTGTGACGAGATGAGGAATGTGATGTTTCGTATTTAGTCCAAGTTAAACATGAAATGTCAAAGGTAATTACAACTGGCTCTTTGAGGGCCACCATAATGCTCATGTGGCCTTCTGTGAAAATGAGTTTGACACCCCAGGTTTAGAGCACAGGGATTCCTCAAGGGTGTGTATTCGGTCCTATGTTCTTTGCTGCTACTTGACTCTTCTGCCAAATTCAACAGAAACTACAATTTTTTTTGATGACAAAACATTGATGGGACTCCTCAGAAATGATAATGAGCCATCCTATGATTGTATCTCACTAGGCTGCAAACACCGGGAGAGTTGAAGACACAAAATTGTTAGAAATATTCAAAGTTTTACTTGGAATCTTATAGAAAGACACTTTTGAACAAACGTCCACTTGACTTTACATACAGGAAAAACAGGTGCAGAGTTCTAAAATTACAGGAAACCTAACCGAGAAACGTTTAAGATGGGATGGGATTGAATATGTGAAAAAAATTCCATGATATGAGAACAAGAAAATTGAAAACCTACAGTGAATGTTTAAAGATGACTTATACAGTAGACTCGCTTGTCAACTGGGTTTGCAATTTGTTGCCAACAATCACAGCCCCAGGGACTTTTACAGAGCTGAAATGAAGGGTAGTGAGCTGGTGAGAAGGCAACAATTTGTCCCCTAATGTCAGCAAAATTTAAAAACTAATGTACATTAGGCTTAACAACACACAACTGTCCAAGAAAGTTCAGTTTTCAGGAGACTGAAGCCATTTTTTAACTGAAGCTGTATTGAGAGTATCCTGACAAGCTGTATCACTTCCTGGCAACTGCAGAGTGACTGACAGGAAGACCCTGCAACATGTTGGGAGAATGGCAAGGAGACAATCATCGAGGGTCTGAGGGAAAGGTCTTTCTTAAGGAGCCCACCTATTAGCTGTTTAACATCCTGCCATCGGAAAGATGGTACTTTTATACTGCTGTGTATACAGTACTTAACCAGTGTTAGAAGTACATTTTTAATGAATAATTTACATTGCACTTTTTGGACCACACAGATAGGATGCAGATAGATTTAGATATGATTTCCTGGATTTAACATTGTTAATAAAATCTATGAATAAGCCTAAGTATTGTGCAAACAAATATGTCAACGGCCATWCCACCCTGAACATGCCAGCTCTCCTCTGATCTTGGCTGCTAAGCAAGGTTAGTACTTGGGGGGAGACCACCTTGGTATACCAGGTGCTGTAAAAACCAATGTAGGAGTTGGGCCCACAGTGGAACACTAGAAATAGAAAACCTTTGACCATAATAGGCTGCCTTCTATGACGGATGACAAAAAAAAAAAAAAAGTAAAAGAAGCATAAATGAAGTTTTCATCAAATAAAGCCAATAATTATTAATTAGTTCATTAAAAATGCTTTTTAAAATTTCACTTTTGTAGTTTTGTGAGTAATGAACAACAATCTGAAGCGGCTAAATGTAATAAACAACAATGTAGTTCATTATATTGGCCAAAAGGGGGCACTGTGACACCAGTAAGGACCTGACTGTCTCAACACATGCTTCAAAATCTCTCTTTTTGGTGTGGCTGCTGGTTCTTTAAACTTTCAAACTGCTTTCCACTTCTTTTAAATTCAATTTGTGTTTTGTAATGTAGGACTTGGACTAAGTTTCACAAAACCTCTGTTTTTCACTTCTCTTCATCATTTGACAGTAATCAAGAGGCTGTATGGATACGTGCTGACTTCATGAAACAGGGAGAGACAGATTAAATATAGCCGTCTCCGACTGAGAGACAGCAGGGTGTGCAGCAGCTGCTCTCAGTACCACCCAGCCATCACATCAGCGTGGGGCTCGTTAAAAATTGAAACCTGTGACAACGCCTAATGGCTGAGACCTGCTGGCAGAAGGATGCTGGGAGACACGCTGTGATTTTGCCAGCAGGTGGAGTGAAGCCGTTCGTCCTCTCCGTCAAATAGAAGACAGAYGGACAGAGGACGAAACAGCGTGCTGCAGCCAGCTACAGGGGATCAATCAAAGTTGGGTCCAATTTTTTTTCCCCCTCATTCATGCTTTACCCCTGCTGAGAGCCATTCATGTGTTCACCAAGAGTGGGAAATCAGAGAATCTGAGAAGTGTATAAGACTGTAAATCAATGTTTTGGTCAAATCTTTAAAAATTAACGTATGTGTGATCTCAAGCAATTTTGCTTAATTTTGCTCAATCTGTTAGCGCTCAGAATAGGCCTGTGTGTTCTGAATGACTCTCGGCTGCTATGACATCAGATTTCAGTTCGGTATTTGTAAAACTGACAGAGCTGAAGCTACTTTTGTGTTGGCAAGGTTTGATTACCTGGGGTGGCCATGTTGAATGGGACTGAATACTTAGTTGTAGATGTGTAAGAAAATTTGTATTCAATAAACTGAAGTCGATATTAAAAACACAGTTGTTAAATAAAATGATTTGTTGAAGGAATCAAACCATACAACACCAGAATTCTGGATCTGAGTGARGTTTATTGTCACTCAAGCTGACAGGAAACCAACACTACCAAAAAACCAGGAAGTTCATCTATTTATACAGGTTCTTCAATGCCTGYGTYCRCCCCCTACTGACCTACGGCTGAATCACAGGCATTCAGACAAAATCCTCAGCTAATGTCATCACAATGTTTAATTATGTGTTGTCAAAGATATTTCGGACATGTAACTAATCTATTATCCATCAAAACATAATAGATTAAAACACTGTCAACATTACAAAAAGGAAAACCTAAGAATAGTGTTGTGCTTTTAACATCAGTACCAACCTCTAATAACTTTAAATTTCTTCAGATGTACTGTATACATCCAACAATTACTCTCTGAAAGTTTCACTAAAATCCATCCAGTGGTTCATTAGTTATTTTTGCAGCACTGAAAAAAAAATTGGGATTGTTGGATTATTGGAAATGTTGTTGACTGTAGTGGRCCTTTTGCATTGGGTTTATTCCAAAAGCTAACACTGTTGTATGTGTGCATCCACTTATGTTCTGAGAGTTTTGTTCAAATCTGTCCAGTGGTGCACGATATATTTTGCTAACAAACATAGAGAGTTAACTCCAAAAGATAATGTCCAAGTTTTAAAAAAGTTTTTCTGGTGAAAATTTGGCACTCTGGAAATGTGTTGAGAACGACTCTCAGATTCGACGCCATAAAAAAATCTGAGCTTGTTATTGATGAAAATTATTGCGTTTTAGCCATTTTTGTGTAGCTGCAGCAGCCATCTTGAATCAGATTGACTACAAGAGTAATCAGTTGTAGATGGATAATCAGTGATTACTTTCTGATGGTTTCATTCAAATCCGTCCAGCAGTGGTTAGCAACATATTTATCTAACAGACACATTCACACTCAAAGACAAGGGCAAAACATTAAAACCTGCCGTTCAAAGTCAAACAATAATTAATGACACTTAAAGCAGCGTAGCACACATTGAAGGAGACAGTGTGAGTGTGTGTGTGTGTGTGTGTGTGTGTGTGTGTGTGTGTGTCTGTGTCTGCTTTAAAAAGCCTGTGTCTGCAGGCCCCCTGGGAGGCAGTGCAGCCTCTGCAGCAGCAGCAGCAGCAGCAGCAGCAGCAGCAGCAGCAGCAGCAGCAGCAGCAGCAGCTTTGTGGACAGGCTTTAATTTAGAACAGTCAAAAACAAGGAAAAAATAAAGCAGTGCTTTTGGCAAACCCTGTCTGACTTATATTTAGTGTGGGCAGAGGACCTTTTATGCCTTTGGTTTCCTCCTCTTCCTCTGAATCTACACATATGTTGAACATGTGTGTGTTTGTGTTTGAGGAGGAGGCCCAGATGTGTAGCCGACTGGAGAAAAACGCCACTGCAGACGTAATTCCTGATGAACTCTTGTCACTGTGCCTGAAGGGGAAAAAACATCCTGACAGCCCTCTGCTGTGTGAGAGCGTGTGACCTCAGGATTGTCTTGTGTCAGAGAATAAACACCTGCAAACACAACGCCAACCCCTGCCTGTAAAAAACACAAAGCTACAACGAAAACAGCTTGGCTTTAAAGGGATAGTCTGGCCATTTTTGAATTGTTGTTTTGTTCCCTAGTTAAAGAGCAGAAGTCTTTGTCTAAGCTAGGCTAATAGCTAACTGAAAAAGGGCCTGCATTAGGGGTGCACGATAGTTATCGGCACGATAGTTATCGGCYCGATAGTTATCGACCCGATATCGGAATTATGACGTCATACTTATCGGTCTGATATCATAACAAACAGAACCGATAAAATATGTACATGTTTGCCAGTGCGGCGATGAGAATGCGTGTTTATTTTTATCCGTTTTGGTCAAGCTGCTTCCCATCCGA